TGTATCTTGCCATGTTCTAGAGGAAGATTCGTTCTCATTTTGCACGATTTGTGAGTACTCGAGCGAGGCCCTTCGTGTGATGCGGTACAAAGCGGCAGCACCCCCCCACTACTGGTACCGGTCCTACTGTCAAAATAGTACGCCCGGGCGCTGTATACTTTTCATTTTTTTAAGGGTCCTCACGTCGGCAAAGTTAGTCGATTTTTTCAGAATACAAAGCCCGGGCGTTGTAAACGAATATTACGCCCGTAGGGCTTTATATTCGTACATAACGCCCGGGCGTTATTTTCGGGTGAAGACGGTAGTTCCATCGCAGGTCACATAATGTCGGAGGGCGAATTCCGATATTTTGCATCTTCCGTCGCTTCTTTTACCTTTCTTGCTTTTAATCATTTATCTGGCGCGTTCATGCAGTAGACCTGAGAGGAAAGGTGGAAGTACGGCAAGAATAAAACATTACATCGTGAAACTCACTCACGTTCATGCAGTAGATCTGAGAGGAAAGGGGAAAGGAGGAAGTAAGGCAAGCTTACAGTCGATCCTCCACGACGTTGGAGTAATCAATGCTGGTCAGGGATCCTTCGGCGGGACGGAAGGAAGCGTGAGTGGGTTTCACGATGTAATGTTTTATTCTGACTTGCCGGTGGAATAGGAACCGGACTGATGCTCCGCACAATGGAAATGGATCCGGGGCCATAAGGACCTGTTTTACTTTAAAAAAAAAAAAACAATGCACTTAGAAACTTTACATGTCCAGCGATATCGTACATTACGACAGTCTGTGCAAGGAAACAAATCGCGACTTCACACAAACACACAAACACACACACACACACACACACACACACACACACACAAAGTAGGGAGGGCATTTGTGGAATGCTGAGGAATGTCGACACACAAACCACCTCTGGCAAAATTCCCGTGCAGAACAAGAGGAGTCAGGTCAAACAACCTATTGGCACAGCAGTTTCCACAACAGCCCTTCATCACCGTCACAGCAAAACATAGAATGGAGCACATTTACCCTGAACAGTGGAACATGGCACCCTTGATAAGAATGAGAGTAGGCCCTTGGGTAATAACACAGAACGCTACCGTCGTCGCCCGAACATAACGCACCCTGATTCTGAATGTATACAAGCCATCTTTAACGTCGTATGCAGTCATAATGAGCTAGTGTTGTGTTCAGGGGTCGACGGTAGATGCATGCAGTCAGACAGTAGGAAATGCGAAGCAGTGATGAAAAACTGAAAACATTTGGCTATACGAGGACGGAACTGCAGAGCCAACGGGCACTACCCTTCTCCTTTTTTTTCCCTTTCTTTTCCCTTTTTTTTTCCCAATGTTGGAGTGGTGAAATCTCTGGAAGCATTGGAGAGGAACCTTTTTTTTTTCCTTCTTTTTTCCCTTCTTTTTTTCCCCAAGAAGAGACGAGTATATAAGATCGAGAAGCCAACTTAATGTAGGCTTTGGATTTTTTTTTTATTTTTTTTTTATTAGGCTTTGGAAATTTGGAGCCAGGAGGGCAGTGGAGACTATTACATAGAAAATGCAAAATAGAAAGGTCGAGGGCTCCTCCTTTTTACTCTCTGGGTCTGACAGTCCTGGATACCGCCACGGCAGGGAACACCCTGAGCGGTAGGTTGTTGTTCGATACTTCTTAACCCACCAGTACCTCGCCCAGCTAATGCAGTCCGACCCTCAGGCGACCGGTATATCGAGCCCGCCGAGCCTGGACGTACCAGTAGTGGGACGGGCCAAGCCTGGAGGGACCAGCTTCAAAACACAAAAAATAAAAGAAAAAGAAAAAACAAGCAGCAACGCCAGGGATGTAAAAGCAGTTGGATACATTCTTCCGGGTGATATAGTGTGAGCATGCCCTCAGTGAGGGTGGGTGCCTCAGCCCCGACACCTTCTTGTCAGATAACAAAAAGACAACAAAGAAGGAGACACCGCTCTGGCCCTGAAATTGGTCCCATTCATTCCTCGACGTGCGAATGTCAGTATGCCAGGGGAACAAAAACAAACCGAGCACATCACGGAAACACACGGAAACACACCGCCTTGCTGCGAGGGGAGTCTGGGAAAAGGAAAAAAGAAGAAAAAAGAAGAAGAAAAAAAGCACATTGACAATTTGACAATCTATACTTCTGTACAAGTTACATATATTTTTTACTTACCGAACACACCCCGCCTCACCGGCAGGGGAACAAAAACAAAGGAAAAAAATGAGAAAAACGAAAACAACAGTGAGAATATAAACGTATCTGCAGTTAGATCCAATCAGGACTTCTGTTTCGTGCGCATGGCCTCTGAGAACACCTTCCCCGACATCTATCGCGCATAGTTGTGGTGCAGGGCGTTGCAGACTGCGCTGTGCGCTGGAATGACAGGGCGCGCACTGTGCGCCGTGCGCTGTGCGCAGTGTGCAGTGCGTTCCGCTGTGCGCGGTGCACGCGCTGAGGGACGTGTGCCCTGTGCATTAAAAAAAAAAAAAAAAAAACAGAAGAAGAAGGCAGGCCCCAAGGGGGAGAGAGAGAGAGAGAGAGAGAGAGAGAGAGAGAGAGAGAGAGAGAGAGAGAGAGAGAGAGAGACGACAAAGGGTCGCCTTCATGTCAATTCGAGGGGCCCCTGGAGGTACCTCAAATGGCTTGTACAATACACGTGGAGCCATTGAGGGCCACTGCTTCAATGAGAAGGCTGGCCTCGTCATGCGTGGAAGAGTTGGGGGCAGACCACCAATATATGCTGTGGATTCGAGTTCAGGGCTGTAGCTCGCCAGTTATGGGTCACCAATTCAGCTAGACCATGTTCGTGTCTTCACGTGATTCTCAGGGCCTCCCTCCACCACTCACCAAATGTATATAAATAATAATATTAGTAGAATGAATCTTGTGCTAAAACATGGAACCATACACCGCCATATGCTATGTCTTTTGTGCATTTGGTGAGTAGTGGAGCAAGCCCCACTGGACGTACTCTTAAGAAAACACAAACAAAAAAACGAGAGAGCCACGGGCACCTACATCCTAACCCATAACTACCGACATGCAGACCTGAACGCCAATCGTCAGCATACATTGGTGGTGGTTGGCTGGCCATGGAAAACGTAACTTGCAACATCTGCGAAGCTTCGCGGGGCAGGTCGTTATCATGTGACTATCCCTTCTTGCGAACTTACCCCACCACTGTGTGGGATTTGCAGAAGGGAGCGGGAAGGACAACTCCCATACCCCGCCTCAAAAAAAAGTTGGAATGAGCCCTGTTTTATGCTTCGCCATTCTGAAACTTTTGGGGGAAGGACCTGCAGAAATCGAAATTTGGCACCCCTTACCCAAAAGGAAGATTCGGGCCGGGGGCGCAGCCGGTTTCCGAGCTCGCGCGGAGAGTTTAACATTTTTGCCGAGTTTAACAATCAACGAACGCTGGACCTGCTCTCCAACTCTAAAAGCAAGGCTGGTTTGGGAACCGGCCGTATCACTGGCCCCAGTCCAACCGGGGCTAAACCCATCCGGGTGGGTGAACCGGCAAAACAGGTCGGACCGGCCGTCTGCCAGACCAGTGGACCAGCCGGTCGAACTGGCGCGAAAGTGGCTCCAATTCGCCAGAGCAGGCTCCGGTCGAACCGGCGTGCTCCCAGGCGGGGAAGGGCCCCACGGACCATCTGAGGACAAGCACTGTCTAAGAGTCAATTTGGGTTTGTTCAAGCGACGCTGGATTTTCCACCCCTAGAGATCATTTTGGTTGGCCCTGGTTTCAATTATCCATTTCTGGAAGCCCACAATAGTGGTTGGAGGGGGACCACCATAATGGGATTCATAACAACTAATGAATTTAAAATTTAAATTGTTTTACTGATTTTGAAGAAAGTAGTGTATTAATTATACTTACAAAAAAAGAAAAGAAAAACTTACAATCAGTAGTTGTTTGAAATAGGAAAAGAGCAAAACGCAGCTTTTCTCAGGGATTAGACTAGGCAAGGGAGAGAAAAGCAGGGGAGGAGCGGAGCGGTAGTGCATATCCGTCCTTTCACCAGAAGAAGAAATCAATGCTGCGGTCTCAAGGGCCCTTCGCCATAACGAAGGGCAGCGTTGTGTGTACCAGATGCAAGGGACCCACACTGGACGCAATTCCCCGTCTTACTAATGCAGCACCGTTAAAGTAAAAACAGTAGGGAGGCCACGCCCATCAACATCCAAAACATGCCATAAAATGGGGGGAAAGATCGATTGATCACATGGGTCGACCTTTCCGATAGATAAACATGCATGCTCAACAATCAAGCAGCAAGCACCGATCTTCAGAAAAAGAACAATTCCATCGAGCAATAGTTGCATATCACGTTCCACACTTGCCCCGGACCTGCCGGGGGCACACAAATCAGCAAACTGCATCTGCCTTTATGGGCGTGAAGGGTGCAGAACAACACCTTTCCGCTGAAGGCTGAGGCGGAAAGACCATTTTTTCCATTTGCTTTTTTCTGGACAGGATGAGTTTGGGGTCACACACACACACACACACACACACACACACACACACACACACACACACACAGAGAGAGAGAGAGAGAGAGAGAGAGAGAGAGAGAGAG